ATGTCATTATCCAGCGATGGTGGTCTGGGGTCTACCACATAGATCTCGTAATTGGCACTGCGGTCTCTTACATCCTGCCATCTGTCTAGGATGTGGGTTTCCCATTGCTGGTAGTCCTCGTAGAGCTGAAGTCTTCGAGGTAGATCGCAGTGTGGCCATTGCCAAGTGTGGTCAACGAACCATGTAAGCATAGTACATGACCGTTCTTCATCCTCCCAGGCGAAAGCCTCCTGATCCCAATGAGCCCATAGATCTGCTTGGAACTCTGAGAGTGTGCGTAGATCTGGCTGTCTCGGGTCAAATGCCGGAGCATTGGGATTCAATTGAGAGTTTCCACAGCTCTGCATTGTAGAACTCGCTTGGGGTGCCGCTTGCATCAGTTGTCTGGGACTGTCTGATGGTGTTTTCCTCGTAATCTGTATGTGCTTCTGCATGAGGGAGGACACATCATTCTCTGTGGTCACCTGTTGCATGCTTGAGATGGTGACGACTATGCTTTCTCCATCTTGCAGTTGGACAAGATCCAAGGGCCCGAGATGTACGTCTCCAACTTGCAGTCGACACCTCCTAGTGTTGCACCATCGTGCAATGCCAAGATCTTCTAAGATGACATCTTGACTCACATAGTTCGGCTGTAGAGCTGCCAGATGCCAGACGCGTCTGTGGACTGCGTGGTCGAAGAGAGCGGTGAGGAGGACTGGATGTTCTGCTCCTTGTCCTTGGACCAGGATGAGATGTCCCACATGTTGACTGTCTTCTGCTTCTGGTGGTGGTGGGTGCACAAAAGCAACTCTGGCAGGTCGATTTGGGTCCATTGCATCCGCCCAAAGATTGCATAGTTCTTCAAACCAGAAACGATGTGCTGCATCAAGGCGCAAAATGCGCGATTCAAAACTCTTTGTGTAGCGTTGGTGATGAAGAAGCCAAGTCGTCCAATAAAGTACCGGACCTTCATCATCAAATTCAACTGCAGCACACTCGCGGAACTTCATTTTGGCTTGGGGCATCCAGGAGTGGTGCTGTTCTTGAACAATTCTCCTTGAGTTGTGATGGCGACCAGTGCCAGGCCCCTGTCTGCCCGCTAGGCTTGGGAAGGTGGCACTGTGGCTCATGAGCAATTTTGAATCATCTGTCAAGGTTGGAGACCATTGCATGAACGATGACACATCATTCGACCCAACAGCACCACGGGGATCAGGTCTGCTGGGTCCAGCAGGGACTTCGACCCGTGAGGACGTTGCTGGGGCGCATGCTCTTGTTGGTGGATCTGCCGTGACCTCTACACGCAAATATGTGCCATGCTGCAATTCACGTGGAAAGAGGTCATCTTCACTCCACAAGTCATTGTTGAAATGGAAGACGCATGAATCAGGGCTGTCTTCACAGGGTGCCTGTAGGTGCAGCTGCGTGATCAAGGAAGGGCGGCTCAGGAAGCTTGGCAACCTCTTTACAATCCTCTGATGTGCAGCATCCAGACCCACAGTGTGGTAGGTGAGGTCAATAAGGACCAATTTGTCTGCTGACCCACCTGGTATGTCTCCAACTAACTGCAGAATGATTGCTTCTTCAGCTTCATGTTGATCAATCAGTGGAGCTTGTACATAGTGGAAACCAACTGCCCGGTCTCTGTGAATGCCCATGGAGTGCAGGGTGTCAAAGAGAATCATATTGTACGATCTCCATCTGACAAAGCAATGGTGCCCAGGTTGTTGTCCGGGTTGTCCAAGTCTGAAAACTTGTAGGCCTTGCAGGTCTTCCTCGTCAAAACTTGAAGTCGAGACTCGTGGGCTTTCTTCTTCTCCTCCTTCGTCTGGCGCTGGTTGCGATACACCAGGAGACGGTATTGTGATCTCCGTGCTCGGATCACGTTGCGTCGACGATGTCGCGCGCGAGCCAGTGAGGTCATGGAAGACGGCGACAAAGGAGTGGCCATTCATTGCCCAATGCACTGGAGTCGATGTGGATGGTATTGCCGTACCTCCATGAAAGATGTCGCATGCATGTGTTTGTAGCAGATCTGCTGCATCTGCCCCCTCAAGGATGCCAATCCCACTGAGGTGTCGTGCATAGGAAGCAGCTCCAATATAATAGCGATCATCTCCAGGAAGGTATACTGTGGTAACTCCTCCTCGAAGTGCATGTGCTCCATCTTGTTGACCTTGGAGCAGCATCACATCAGCCTGTGTCGGTTCATTCGGGTCTTGATCTCGGACACGAGGGAATACCACAGCAATAGTCAGGGGATCATCATCATGAATTTGATCTCGCCAAGCTGCAAGTATACCCTGATGCCATGACTCTGGATCATGCGTGAGCTTGACAGCTCTTGGCGTACGGCATTTGGGCTGATGCAAGTGGTGGATGTACCATGTCCTCAATCGATATTGCTGTTCTGCTGGAAGTCGTAAAAGTTCGTCTCTCCACAGAGTCTGCAAATGGTGTATGTACGCCGGCAGGTCATCAGGGAGGATCCTGTCCAGGAAGTGTCTGTGACTTGAGCTGCCAGCGGAAGATCTTGGGGCCTGGTGGCGGCCTGCTGCAGATAGTTGCTCTGGCAGGGGTCGTTTCGGCCATTTGTAGAAGATAGGCGCCAAATGCTCATCTTCGAGGAAATGGGTGCGAGGCAGGAACTCCTCCAGCTCTACTTTCCCTTTCAAGCTGTCCTCATATTCCTCGAATCTGACTGAATGGCAATTCTTTTTCCTTCCAAAACTTGGTGGCAGCACCAGAGTATCAACACGCACCGCACAGGGTATTCCCAATTCCCATGCCAGGTCTGTTGCTTTCTCTACCGCGTTCCAAGGGGAAGTAAAATGAGGCTCATCCAAAATTGAGTGTCACCAGTGCAATAATGCCGCATCAGGGGAGCACGTCACCTGTGGCCATTGATGATCATACTCGTCGGTCATGAAGCATCGGCCTTGTGAAAAGGCTGCATAGCTTTGGAGCCAGGAGGAGCATCTTCTTCCTCTCTGGTCCTGGGACGCTTGGACTTGGGCTCGAGCTTGTCGGCAGACTCGGAGAGGGATGAGAGACTCGTGACAACCTGATTCAATCCCTCTTGAATTCGTTGCGCGTTCTCGTCTCTTGGAAGCTCCTCCTCTTCTGGCAAGTCTGTCTCTTGGAAGCTCCTCCTCTTCTGGCAAGTCTGTCTCGTTCTCTTCCATGTCGTCGTCCGAGATCTCCAGAGTCTCGTCCTCCTTGCCAATAGCATCTGCACGCTTCTTGGCCAAGTCGACTCTTTTCTGCGCTTTCTTCAAATGCAATGTAGCCGCTTGCATTTGATGTTGGAAGGCTGTCTCCGACGCTTGAAATTGCGCCGTGTACTCCTTCCACTTGGTCACAGATGCCTGGAGAAAGACACGCCACTGCGACCATAACTGCATGCGCGAGTTTTCCACCTCCATGAGTGCTTCTTTGGCTTTTCCATGTGCTTTGACCGCAGCCACAAGGTTGCTGGTGCTTTCCTTGTCGTCTTTCTTGCGTTCGGTGGCAACCAAGGATTGGAACTCCGGAGACAAGTGCTCCTCTTTCTTGGCTGCTTTCATGATCTTGTTCAGCTTGGTCTGCGCACTCGTCTCTGCTTTGACGTCCTCCACGTCTAGGGTATTCATAGAAGCCTGCTGTGGAACAGTCTGCATCACTTGTTGATCCAACTGAGGCGGCATGAAGGGCATCATGTTCATGTGGGGCAATTGCTGTGGCATCTGTTGTGGCATCCATGGTGCATGACATTGTGCAGGTATCGGCGCCAGCATTGGAGGGGGCGGCGGCGGCGGTGAAGCAACTTGCATCTGTTGTGCACCCTTGCCCTGCCCTTTGTCTGTGACATAGGTCGTGGACCATGGACCACCTCCCCATGAACTCGATTGACCATAGGGTGCTTGTTGCTCCCATTGGTGATTCTTCTTTCGCGATCTCGGTCTTCTTTGTTTTTGGCTCTTCTCTCTTTGCTTCTTGTTCGGCTGTGCCCATGTAGAACTGCTCTGGTTGGCCGTGGGCACCGCGCAGTCTTCCCACGAGTTGCCACATAGGTCGCAATACCAGGCATTCGGCGACTTCATTTTGCGACACGTGCCACAGAGCCACCCTGTCGACCGAGATGAAGCCATTGCGTCTGCAATCCGGCGCAGGAACAATCTGTCTCCTGAGTGGTGTCTTTGCAGTGTTCTGAAGATCACTCCCAACTGCTTCGAATTGAGTGGCGACCTTCCAGTCCGATGCAAAAACCAGGCTCTCCGAGCCAGCGCGCGCCTTCTGCGCGATGCTCTCCTCTGTGTAGTGCTTGCCGTCGCCGATGTCAGGGAGGATCACCAGGGCAAAGACTAGGAAGAGGTGACAGAAGGATGACATACACCACCTGTAGTTCCCAAGCCGAGCAGGTAGAGGTCCGCCTGGTCCCCGACGTAGAAGTCCAAGAACCGGCCAGCCCAAGACCGTGCAGCGCAAAAGGGAATGCCGTCAAGGAAGGCTCGTATGAGCCCGCGGGACCCGGCAGGGAAAGTCCCGCTAAGGCTGAGAGGGCAGAAGGAACGTGGGGTCCTTAAGCCAATGCCTTCAAATATGTATATATATATATATAGTATATATATATATATGCCAATATGGACAGATAACCGGGGGGGTATTGCTGGGATAGATTCCAAGAAAAATGCACCGCATATTTGCATGATTCTCCATGTTTCTCCGTGGATTTGCCCTATGTTTTTCCCAAATTTTCTCATGGGATTGTGGGGGATATCTATCTTAATCCCCGCTGGGATGATCTACTCCGCTGGCAGCTGACTTACTATCCAGCCAGTTTTATCCCAACTTTCGTATCCACTTTTGTGCGATAGGAGGACTGTTGAACAGCAAATATGTATTGTGTGGACCTACTAGTACTGCATGTAGACTCGAAGAGTTGATCTCGGTGTCAAGCTGTGGTTATACTGCATCGTCCAAAAGACAAGAGACCACTACGTCACGACATGAAGAGTTGCACTGCGCAGCACCCTAAGGCGATGGTGGCAAGAGCAAGAAGCACGACCGCAAAATGGTGGGTGAATTCGGGTGACGCAAAATGGTGTCCTCACTGGGTCATGATGGCTAGGATTTGGGGAATCATTCCCTCAATAGAGGTCGTAAAATTTCAGCTATTCGGGGTTCTTATTTCAGTTTAGTTAAAATATTAATTACCTGGTATAACTTACCCAGTAAAAAGTGCATCCATGTTGCAACTGAACTACCAGACATCCACCAATTGTTGAACACTTGTACTGAATTTATCAGCCAACCCTTTCGGACTTTCGTGAAGTTGTCTCCAAAATTGCCTGAGATGATTTGGCATTGAAGTGCAATAATAGCTCTCCTTCATGCTTCAAAGTGACGTATTTGAGGTATCAACTGACCATGTTCGCATCCGAGCCTTTGCCCGTCCCACTCTTTGGAAGGGGAAATTCTAAACTGCTTAAACTGTATACATTTGTATACTGTAGCTGTTAACATGGCGGTATTCAAGCATTGGCATCCTTGTTCCATGGAGTTGTTCCTCCAAAAAGTGGAGGAAATGTGGCCAACTCCCATCGACCAGGCCCACAAAAAAACATGGCTTTTTAGCAGATGGGAACAGGGGAATCACCAGATTTTGTGGGATGACTTCATATTCTTTAATGTTGGCGAATTGATGCGATTTGTAGTTAAACTACAGCAAGTTGAGGCCAGATCAAAACACCCGTCGATGATCCCTGAAATGAATGAATGAATGAATGAACGAACGAATGAATGAATGAATGGTTGGTAGCTCGCTTGTAAGCCTTCGTAAAGGGGACATGTGAATTCTAGTGGATAGAACTCACTCTATTTGGTCACCCACCCCATCATCCCAAATCTGTATATTTCCAAACATCAACTATAATTATCGATCAGCAAAAATAATAATAGATATATCTGTATCTCAGTGTCCTTTTGCTTAACGTTTACTATAGTTACTAGTAACCCCATGTAACCCCCAAAAAAGGTGCTAGATTTTAGTGTTTCACCCTAATTCACAGCTCAACATTTCGTTGGAATTCATAACTATGTAAAATCACGATTTTTCATGGGAAAATCCACTATTTCTATGGTCATACATGGTCATTTTCCATAGTGATGTAACAAATTACCAGAGGGTACCATCTACCATCGATGGTACCTTACAATCATCAAACTCTGCACGGGATCTTCCAGTGAAGCCCCAGGGTGGCCGAGCATTTGGGCCTCAAACGTCACCGTGCGGACGGCCAAAGCGAAGAGCCCCGCAGTGAGATCGCGGTGGCGCCTGGACTGTGACGGTCAACGTGGGCCATGAAACATTTGTTGATCGTGATAGGGTTATATTATGTATTCTGGTTGGTGGTTTGGAACATGAATTTTATGACTTTACATATATTGGGAAGAATCATCCGAACTGACTCATATTTTTCAGAGGGGTTAAACCACCAACCAGTATTATGTATTATTAAGTTTTATGTATTATTATGCATTATGTAGATATATTGTGTATTGCATAATGTATTATAATGTATTATAATGTATTATAATGTATTATAATGTATGATTATATATATTATATAATGATATGTATGAGAATATGGATATATGTAATATATTATTTATTATTATTATTGTTATTATTATTGTTGTTATTATTATTATTATTGTTGTTATGTAATTATTATGTTATATTATCCTTTGCATATTGAGAATGATCAAAAAATCATCCATATGAGAAACCGTATTGACAGTGCCCAAAAATACGAATTGGCAGAAGATAATAAAGGTGATGAATCCACCTAATTACATAGGGAGTATGACCTTTGCCAGTATGGGAACAGCCGAGGTGGTAAATTTTCAGAACCACAAGGAGGTCGAGGACCGCCTTCTTGTTGACTCTTGGCCTGCAATTGAAGCAGTAGACAAATCCACGGCATGATGTTACTAGGAGAAGGTCACACCTGCAGCACCAATTGCTACGGTCACAGAATACGGACGTCATTGGAGCTTTAGGAAGCGCCGATTGCAGTCCTATGTCGTTTCGAATCTGCTCACTGGGCATGACCAGCCCGGTGGTGGGTACCCAGGAATGCCCACGTGGAGCTACTTCTGATGAGATTCCATTGGTGAAGAGGTTGATTTATCTCCAAGGTGGGCTCAGGGTGCTTCCCAACCTCATGTGATGCAGGTGAGCCAGGGATGATCCTTGATGATCGGCACGATATTCTCACATTCTCTAGAGTTGTTTGGTTTGCTTTAAATAACTTAAGATGTCATGTTTGATGTGTTAAAAATGTCGAAAAATTGGATCCTTCAAGCATTGTACCAACATGTACCAACTAAGCGTCAGCTCTGTAGTGGAAGATTCATTGATAGAAATATACCTTTCAGGGCGGAAGTTGCTTGGATTGATTTGCATGTCGAGGGTTGCATACAAGCAGCATGATTCTATTTACATAGAGTTGTGCCTATGGTTGCCGCCTAAAGTTGCTTTTATTGGGCATTTACTGAAATTTGTAATGGAAAAACTGCCCACATCGGAAAGCGCAACGTCAGATGAATGAAGGTGAGACGCATTATTTCATCATGACCGTGGACCTTGATGTCCTGATGAAGCATGGTGTGGTTGCCAGCCAGGCACCTTTTTAGTCAGTGATGCTGAAGCACAACTTGAAAGCAACTAGTCAAAGTTGTGAACTAACAAGTTCTAAATATCCTGAGAATACGAAAAAATTGGACGTTCTTTTTGCCTTTTGCACAGAATTTCTGGGTTTTCTGTCATTGAATTCCCATCGTTTTGGTGGAAAGGCTGTTCCACTACATCCCTGGCAGCCAGGACTTAGTGAATGTGAACCAGCAAAACCTGGAGATTTTGGCACGACAGGCTGGGATGTCAGTATCGGTTGTGGACCAAGATGGCTATGTGACCAAAATGCCTGGCTACTGTGGGGGATAAGTGTTTTTCTTATACACTGTCTGGATTTTCAAGCACTTTGATGATCCAAAAAACCTGTTCGAAACACGAGTTTTTCATTTCCGAACTGGCGTGGCCCCCTGTTATGCTCACGCTGGTTCTATTCTAAGGGAAGCGCAGAAAAACTAAGATCCTCCTTGAAACAAATCAGAAGAAGATCCCCGCGTGACCTGTAGATCAAGCAGAGCGAAGAATTTTGTTTGGTGAAATTGGAGCTGGTTGTTGGTTTGGAACATTTGGATTATTTTTCCATATATTGGGAATAATCATCATCCCAACTGACTCATATTTTTCAGAGGGGTAGGTCAAACACCAACCAGTTGGAGTCAGTCCCATCAAGTGCCTAGGTAGATTTGGGTAGCGGGATTGGAACCAACGGAAAACGAAATACGAAACAAACACCATGGTTTTTCGGTAACGGTTAAGTGCCAATCATCGAACCATGGTTTCCACATTGTCCACTCTATTGGGAACAATATGGTGGTTATATATAATATAATATAATATAATATAATATAAAATAATGTAATATAATATAATATAATATAATATAGTATAATATCATATAATATAATATAATATAATTATAATATAATATAATATAATTTATATAATATAATTAATATAATTAATATATATGTATGATATATATATATGTATATGTTTTTTTCCATGGAATACTAGTGTTGGAGTTGGGTTGAAATTCAAGGCCCTCAAAGCCACAGGGTTGGCAGGTCAGGTTTCGGTAATGTCCGTGTTTCAGGAAACCACCCCAAGATATCCCAAGTGATCAGCGTGGTTTGGAATATATACAATATACTACAATATATATATATATACATATACATATATATATAGTAGTATATAATATTCACATATATATATATATAATTCATACATATACATATACATATATATATATATATATTATAGTTATATAATATAATCCTAATTAGATATACATGTTACATAGCTATCTCTGTCCACCGGGCCCCCAGTCAGACCAGTCAGACCAGTCAGACCGCAAAGCCGCGCCTCGTGTCACCTGCCTGAGGTCGTGGAGCTCTACTCCTCAGAGGCCAACGAAAAAACGGGGAAGCACTAAGTGGGATTTAATGGTGGTTGAACTATGGAAAACCATAGGAAAATGGTGGTTTAATGGGATTTAATGGGATTTAATGGGATTTAATGGGATTTAATGGGATTTATTGTGGGATACCCTCTGGTAAACTAACGTAACTATTGGAAAGATCCACCAGTTTTAATGGGAAAACTCACTATTTCTATGACCATTTTCAATAGCTATGTAACAAATTACCAGAGGGTAGTGTACCTTAGAATTTTGAACAACTGGTTGGTGGTGACTGGAACCATGGAATTTTTAATGACTTTCCATTGATATTTCTGGGAATGTCATCATCCCAATTGACGAACTCCATCATTTTTCAGAGGGGTAGGTATACCACCAACCACATTGGTCTGAATCACTGGTGTCATGCTTCCCTGCGCCAAACCGCCCTTGGGTAGTAGCGTTATACCGTGTGAGGCCCCCCCCAGTTATAAGTTGGTTTATAAGCCCGAGTACCCTCTGGTAATTTAACATAGCTATTGAAAATGGCCATTTATAGTGGAATTACCCATTAAAATGGTGATGTTCCATAGTTACGTTAGTTTACCAGAGGGTAAGTATAGCTATCATTATAGCTATCAAAACCATGGAATATCTTGGGACGCATGAATTGCACCATGCCTCCGCGTTGCGGTGATCAGGATTCTTGGCATGGACCTGGGACATCCAAAAAACCAATGGTTTTTTTGAAGGGTTGTCAGCTCCAAAACCTGCTGATTGTCAAAAAACCTTTGTTTTGATCCCATGTGGTGCCCATGGTAGTTATTGGAGTTACTGTATGTTCACCAACTTAGCTATTGTTCGGGGACCCCACTTTGTAACTAAAAAAAAACACACACCTAGTCATACGTTGGCGTCATTTTCCAGATGTCTATCTTGGCTTCTCCGGGACCCATTCCTGAATTGATCATTAGAGCCATACACATAGATGTTTAGTGTGGGCTTGGGGTTGGATTTACATGGATTTACCACTTAGCCCACTAAATGGGAAAACTATCCCTCTAACTGGGTTTAGATTTGTTTAGATGGGGTCCCACTAAAGTTGTGTTCAACTTTTACCAGGGTAACAACATTCAACAACTATTCAGCAGTGCATCATACATACTGTCAATGTTCTATCCGCATATTAGTTAGCTAAATCTAATTTAATCTCCAAATAATCGTCCCATGTTGGTGATATTCCCATCATTTTGTTTAGATTTCCATCATGCGAAGATCCCACAAAAATCCTCATGTTGTATCCCCATCTTGGTTTTCATCCCATGAAGCCACGTCTTTCCTGCAGCATCTGCAGCATCTGCAGCCCAGCCGTCTCCAAAAAGGTACGCAGAATCTACAGCGAGCACGACGGTGCGTTTGGCGTCGATATCCCCAGAGATTTTTGGGCGCGGAGGCGGGGATCGCAGTGGTCATGGGAGATGCCATGGGTAGATTCGATAAATGGGGGTTCAACCAAGATGATATTTGGGCGTGTCTTAAAAATGTTGGGTTAAACATAAAGAATGGATGATTCAACAGCTGAAATAGGGGGGCTGAGGTTATATGGATGGGAGATTAATGGTAGTTAAATCATCAATCAAGGGCTATCAAGCCGACTATAATCGAATATAATGGGCATGTAATTAGTGTGATATGAACGGGATACCAATATCATTCTTGCGTGTGTGAAAATTCGGTTTTTTTTTGCACACCAACATTGCCATTTTAGCAGGGAACATGTTGCTTGATCATGAAAATATGGTGTACCCTCTGGTAATTTAACATAACTATGGAAAATCACCATGATTAATGCGAAAATCCACTATAAATTGCCATTTTCAATAGCTATTTTGACATAACCAGAGGGTACCCGAACGGTTCAGATACAGCGGGGCAGTTGGATGCTCCGATGCTCCCAGATCGGTGGCCTTGGATCCCTTGGGTCGGCCGGCCATGTCGGTGTTTTCTTACCATGCGGATGCTTGGCGGAGGGGAAAGGGTCCCATCTGGATTGCAGGCAGGTCATTCTTTCTCACAAGGAAATGGGTATGGATCAATACCTATGAAAATACCATTTTTAGGGGGATGAACATCCATAAATCCCAGCTATTTTGATGTGAACTACAGGGGTACAAGGTTTTGACACACTGCCAAATCAGGTGCTCGAGACAGTGATTTCGGAAGAATTTTGGCCAGTATGTAGTAACGTAGTATATTGACATATATTGACTATGACAGTATCTTTAAGCACATTCTGAACCCATTGCCATGCCACGAATCGTACCGGCACTGTATCGTGGGTCAACCTTTACTGGGGTGGTCAGTCACTAACCAAGAATTGTTTTATTTCAAGTTCATATCGCACACATTTGTTGGTTATGTGTGTTTACGAGTCATTATAAGTCACATATGTCCATATCTTCCCTATTTCTGTCCATTTCTGTCCCATTTTGTGGTGCGTATCCAAGATGACCTTTTCTTTACCGCGCAAGGATCTCACTTGGCTCTCTCAGCCTATGTACCTCTTCGAGCCTGGACAGATCTGCCAGCGGCTGCCAGAATTGCCTGGTGAAATGGGGGTATAGCTGGATGGTTTAGAATGGAAAATCCTATGAAATGGATGATTTACAATGGTTTATAATGTTTTATAATGCTTTAAAAAGGTTTTTAATGGTTTATAATGGTTTATAATTGTTTATAATGTTTTATAATGGTCTATAATGGTTTATAATGGTTTTTAATGGTTTACAATGGTTTACAATGGCTTACACTGGTTTACAATTGTTTATAATGGTTTACAATGGTTTATAATGGTTGATAATGGTTTTTAAGGGTTTACAATGGTTTACAATGGCTTACAATGGTTTACAATTGTTTATAATGGTTTACAATGGTTTATAATGGTTTATATTGTTTTATAATGGTCTATAATGGTTGATAATGGTTGATAATGTTTTATAATGGTCTATAATGGTTGATAATGGTCTTTAATGGTTTACAATTGTTTACAATGGTTGATAATGTTTTAGAATGGTTTATCACGGTTTATAATGTTGTATAATGGTTTATAGTCATTATAATGGTTTGTAATGGTTTACAATGGTTTACAATGGCTTACAATGGCTTACAATGGCTTACAATGGCTTACAATGGTTTATAAAGGTTTATAATGGTTTATAATGGATGATTTAGGGGTGCCTGGAATTTTGATGGCTTTGGGGATCAACCTCTTTAAATGGATCCCGAAAACTAATGGCTTTTAATACAAAAAGGAAGGTTTCATTTTTGAATGATTTGGGATCCAGTTTTTGAAGATCCCCAAAGATTGTGGTGAGATGGTTCAAGTTTTGACACACACCAAATCGACCATAGATTTGCACATGGTTTAATTATGGTTTAGCATGAGATGAATTACGATACGTATGTTTATAATTTAGGAATGATGACTTGACATGGTCATGATTTCGTTCTGTGTGTGGGCACTTGCTTTTAAGAACCTGCCGGATACAAACTTTATCTAAACTAGCAAAGATGAAGGTTCTTCAAACAGTCGAAAGGGCGCTTTGTTGTACATATTCTGGAACCACGACTGCTTTAGTTTGCAACGTGTGCCTTTTAGATCCACTGCCTTACCACACCCCAGAAAGTCGTCCCCTTCCAGCGCCGAAGAGACGTGTTTCGTGGGTCGAAGAATGCCTCACATATATTGGGGGTTTCCATAAATGGTGGTACCCAAAAATGGATGGTTTATAATGGAAAATCCTATGAAAATGGATGATTTGGGGGTCCCCCCATTTTAGGAAACTACCATATGAATGATATCAAAACCTACTCTGAAACGTGTTTCGCGCCTGCAGCGCAAAAGCAAGAACAAGCCAATTTCTGCTGGGTAAAATCCGAGGTTAGACCAGTGCTCCGACTTCACCAATGTGGATATATTACTTATACATGCATTAATAATTATTAATATATGTAATTACACATTTCAGATTGTATCGAATTACATGGAGTTTTGGAGGTTGCTTGGAAGTTGTTGACTAAATAGTTGGTCCATAGGGGAAATTTTCATCACTGTTACTCGTTTTTCATAATCCCCAGATTATCCCGAACCCATCAACTCCCATTATCATCATACTTCCATGATATCCCAATGTTTGTTGCTGAACTCCCTATTTTTGTTGGCCCAACTTCAAGAACCAGAGCCTTCCAAGGATGAGAACTTGCCCGTCTTCTTCGCGGGGGATGCCTTGCGAGAACCTTTCTGGCCCATGGGCGAAGGTTGCGCGGTAGATCATCGCACAAACATCATGAAAATGAATATCAAGTTATGATCTATGTTGGTCGAAATAGATTACGCATTCACCATTATGTTGATCTCTTCTAACTTGATGTGAATAGTATCTATTCACTTCAAGTTATCGTCTATGTTGATCAACATTTTAATCGTATGTGAATAGAATATATAAGAGATTATGTTGAATAGTAACAAGATGATTATTATTGTATTAACGTTGCTATATGATGCTATATGTTTTTAGGGCACAAATGTGATTATTGCCGTAGAATTATTGCTGTAGATCCATCCAGTTTGAGGAGTTTACCAACATTTAAAACAAGGGGTCAGGTCCCCCATTGTCAGACGTAAAATATCCATTTCAGGATCGAAGCATCTGTCTTTAATGATTGTTAGGGATTTGACATCATATGTGTTTATGAACTTCATGTGGTATGTATATATAATATATATAATATATATGTTATGTATCATTAATAATATAATATATATATACACATAAAAGGACTTGGTGACACCTTCACACCGTCCTAAGAGAAAAAAACATCTTTTTCGGAGCCATGATCATCCTTATGGCCGCAGGTTGCAGCCGCGGCTTCATGGGTGCCTTTGACACTGTGTGGGCTGTCAGGCGTGGGTTCTGGTGTGGGTAGGGAACAGGCCCCCAAAAAAAGCAGGATGAATGTGACCAAATCGATCATCTACCCAAATATTTATTGTATGATACATATATAAACATAATGTACTGGTCAAAGCTTGAGTAAATTGCTCTGTTTTCGGGGGATGTTCATCATTCCAGGGTTTACATGCCCATTGTGAGGGTTCCCATTATGACCATACCACATCTACCATGTCTTGATCGTGTCACAAATGATTCCATATCTAGTTTAGTTTCTGCATTGTTGGGATGTGAACAGCACGGAAACCGGATGTCAACCCGTCACTTTTGGCTGGTGTCATTTGCACTCAACCCCACATGACATCAGCCCATGAGGAACGAAACATGTCCCCATACTACCCTCCTCAGACAACAAAATGCACGTTCATCACGAGTATCTCACGAAACATCGGCCCTGTGAGGTGTTGGGCCAAAGGTCTTCGCGGGACGAGCATCTTGGTGACATGGACCATTGTTTGATGGTGACATATCCCGCTTGGATGGCTTGGATGGCTTGGATGTGGCAGTTGGATGTGGTTGGTAAATCACGATGACCTATTGATGGCTTAAATCCAGATCTTGAAAAAAATGTCAGCCACATTTGATTCCCCAATATTGGTCACTTACCCCTTGGATCCCCTTGGTCACCCCCCAGCCACTGCAATGCGGCGCAAGCCGCAGGTCTCATGAAGCTAAGAAGAAGCCTCTTTGACATCGCCTCCCAGGTGGACCAGGTATTGAAACCATGGTGACTTGAGATCCCCTCAAGAAACCCCCAAGACGTTCTATACATTTCTATACCGTATAATGCCATATGACTAAATGATTCACTGAGCTGAAAAGTAAATTCGGATATATCGTTGCCTCAACATTCTGGAAATTCTTGGGCGTGTCTAAATATCTGGGAGACTTCTCCAAAAACATAAAGCAATTCCCTGGGACCACCAAGATGGGCCATGAAATAGTTGACTACTCTGACTCCGGTCCAAATATTCCAAAAAGATGAAACCCCAAATCAAAGTGAGTAGCTTTCCGAGTTGTTTCTTTCTATTTGATAGAAGCATACAAAACTGCAAGGTGACCGAGGATCTCAATTCCAAAGAACACTTGGATGTGTTGATGTCAAACTCTTTGAGTAGTCAAACTCAAACGCGGGTTCTCTTTAAGCGTGGGATGCTCCCAGTTATCTGTTCCAAATTGCCAGCTCATATCCAGTTGAACATCCCAGGACTATGTTCCCGTTGAATGAGGCTTGGTGAAGGCTGTGTGACATCAAAAATGTCCACCATTCTTTGTTTCCACTATGGTCACTCCCCCTGGAATCAGTCCTGCTTCCAGCGCCGAAACCTTGTGCTGCGAAGCAGGTGAACCCCAAGAACTATGGCAAGGACGTCTTTTTGCCTTACGAACATGCCGCACCCTTTGCCGGCTTGGAATGGCTCAGACCCTCTGCTGGAGGTATATGGGATGAGGGATCACTCTCTGGGTCAAAATACTGAAGGTCCCTGATGATGGGATGGGCGACCATATCCCATATATATATATACATATATATATCGATATATCGATATACCCATAGTGTTGACCGTGGAACACATGGGAACAGGTCAATTATCAAGACCCGGAGGACATCGGATGATGCTCCTCACCCGTTGTGAATCTACTTGTCCAACCATGCTTGCCGCTTCCAAATACAAAGACATTTGACCTGTACGTCTTTTGGCCAACACCTCACCATCTGGCAATATCCCTGGAATTCCCTGGATCTCCCAAACCATCTGGGAATATCCAAAAATATCTCCCAACATTCGCAGCTCAGCTGAGGCGTGCCAGGACTCCGTTGGCCAGCGTGGGGCTTCGACGGTCGAAAACGACCCATGAAGTACATCTTTACAGTGGATCCCAGAACCAGGCACCGCGTGGCCGCGTGGCACCGCTTTCAACGGTGATGGAGGAACTTGGACTGAACCTCGATGGTTCTAGTAGAATTTGGGATGATTGATATGATGATTGATTGAAACCGGGATATTCTTGGAAGGTCCTGAATCTACAGACTCCTCAAAATCCGCCCAATTGGTTTGAAAGCAGCAGATCGTCATTGAAGTTTTACTGACAGTATTGCTGGAATGTGTCCACTTGGGCCACGCCAGCTTTCAGCAAGTCCTGTCAGCTTCTCCATCAGTCGCTTGATACGATAGTGCCCAGATCTTACGGCAAACAGCAATTTGGCTTCACAGTAAATTCTGTTCAAAATGGATTGGATGTACTGGAAGTTTTTGGGTGGAGACTGCATGCAGTATATATTTGTATGCATTTGTGTCACCCCTTATGGCGAGAATTAGCCACAGAAAGTGCAGAAGACATTCCACTGTTCCAAGGACCTGAACTCACGTGTTTCCTGCGCAGGTATATCTCCTACAAGGAAAATCCTGAGGAGAATCTGGAGCCGGATACTGCAGCTTCGTTAATGTGTTCGACGTGTTCAAAATGACACGTCCGTGCTGAGCATGGAAGCTGGTCACCTGGGCGGACAACATCCGTGACGGTGACCGGGCGAAATGGTGGCTCCACACTGACCTCCACGCGGACTTTCAGCACCAGATCTGCTGGGAGTTGTTCCGAAGTTGTTTTAGCATACTGCATCATCAACCAGTGGAACAACTGTGAATCAGACGGTCGAACGAAAATGGTCAAAACACACAAAAAAAAACAAACAGATTAACAGATCTATTTCTACCAGCATGCATGTCACACATGTATAGAAACTGTCAATCACATGATATCAAATGTCTCAAAATTTCTTTGGTTTTTGTCGTCACTTCACCTTTTCTGGAGCTACACCCCCTGCCCGACAGCCATTCATGCTTGCAGCTCCGACCTCGTAGAATCCAGCTGAGCAGCTGGGGGCCAGACCTCACACGTAGATGGCCGCCACCAACTTACGACTTGGCTGAGCTCAAAATCTGCTGAGCTTGGCCAAATGACCAGGTCGTAAACGAGTCTTTGGAACTAGAAAGGTCACCAAGATAGATTGGTGTGTTTGGTATGTCTAAAACCCTAAGGACGTCCATACCCACAGGTATCATGGTACTGTATACTTTTTGCAAGTGGAGGATGTTTGGTGTTTTTCAGGCTACTCTCCTGACTCTCATGCAGATTATATGCTCATTCTGTAGCCGAAAACAGCCAGGTTCAGGCGTCACCATCACCCATGAAGGAGGTGCTGCGGATGAGGATGGCTCACTGTTTGGACCCAGGAAAAACATCACAGGGATATGAAGTAAAGGTGGGCTCCAAGAAGGATTTTGTTTATTCTTCAACATGTTTCAGGGTTGCGAAATATAGTGAAGGGCGTATTCACTTGGTACAATCGAAGAAACAAGGTTGGCCCTGTGACTTGGAGGATATCTGTGATATCTCCACAATTGAGAAGATTGGAATTTGTGCGCATGCCTACCTGTGTTCATCATGCCACAACACATTCTGTTCACGAGATGATCTGGCGAACACTCTCACAGATTATAGTTGTTCTTTTGATGGCCAACCCAGAAGACCAGTGAGACAAGGCATATATATATATATTATATAATGGCATACATATATAATGGCATACATATATAATACATATATATATATATACATACATATATATATATATATATACATATATATATATGTATATTATATATTATATATATATTATATTATATATGTACTATACCATCATACATCAGACACATTTGCAATGTGGGTTGCTGTTCCACTGTGGGTTTTCACCAACATGTTTGGCCCCATCCCAGGCATCCCAGGTAGCGCCACGCGGTCTGGATTCCGGTGCCTTGGTCTTGTCCGAGCTGTTAGCACAAGGACGGGGTCAGCTGCCTGGGACACCAGGATGGGTTGGAGAAATTGGTGAAATTTGGATCAGATGATCAGATCAGATTGTTAAGATTTTGATGACCTTAAAGTAAATTAATATATATATATATATATTATATATTATATATATAACTTCATTGGCTTTATTTGGCTTTAATGTTGACATTGACGTCATGCATATCCGATGTTGCTCAACATTCGAGCTCTGAAGTCAGCAGCGTGGCAACTGCCGTTGTGAAACACGGAGGACTTCTGGTCGAAGAACATCTTGATACCGAACCTGGAGCATCTTGACGAGAAGATGGGATGCAGTAGTCCTCCAAAAGATAGATTACTGTAGGAGGGCTATCCCACATCATCTTTTGGATATTAAACACTATATCTGAGTTATAACCAGTTAGTAGGTGGGTCCTCCATATTATAACTGAGTTATGAACATAAATATTAACCAGTTGCTGGGATGATCCAGGATATCAATATCATGAAGGCTCCAGGTTCTTCCAGGTGGCCGGGGCAGGTTGTCAATGGCTGTCTCAGATCCATTTGCGAACGAAGGATTAGCAGTATTGCTAAGTACATTAGATGTTCAGCATGTGAATACATTTATTGTATACATTTGTAACATAGTAATTGATAATTGGTTGTACAATGGTTGGTTCTATGGTCAACATGTTTGGACAAATATTATGAATTCATCACGTATCAGGACATACAGTAGATGGACAAAATATTCAAACCCTGCAGCACGCATTATGTTGAACCCCGCACCCCCAAATCTCAATGTTTCGGCGCGCGTATTACCAAGAGTGATGTTAGGGGTTTGATATTTTTTCGTCCATTGGGGCATATTGGGGCTAATGCACTTCAGGTTACATTAACACTGAACTTTGGGGGCGAGGGGGTGGTACCGGATAGAAGGGGTTTGAATATTTCGTCCATCTACGGTATGAATGGATAAACTGATAAAGTGTCCATTTTTTGTAATTCATACCCCAATGCGGTAGAATTTATATGATGCAGATTTTCACAGCAAAATGCCACTCGTAGTTCACCCCAGAGTTCCAAAACATCTAAAAACCGCAGCAGTTTTCGAAGAATCAGATCCCAAGGATGGACCCTCCATGGATACCGCCTTGCTGTTGGCTCTGGATGAGCTTCGAGCACGTGGCACCCGTGTGTGTCACTCGACCACCTCGTTAGCCAAAGCAACATTTTTCAGCGGGCTTAAAACCACCAAACATTTTTGTTGTACTTCTTGGTTACTTGGTTTATGTTTGGTCGATTTGGTGATACCTCAATGTGATCCAGTAGACTCTTGTGGTTTGGTAACCAGATATACTTCGGATATCCTCAGATGAGATGATCTTATGTAATTATATAATTAATTATAATGTATAACTATGATTCCTCAATACTAGTTATTATCATTGAAAACATAACTATTAAATACTATTAATCTCTAATGAAGGTAATTGAATATAATTGAATTATTAGTAACTTATTTGCTATAACTATAACAACATAACAACTATTTTATAAATTGCTCTTGTTTTTTCTCATGATCCGTTGGGTTTTCTGATCCTCCCAGTGTACCCTAGGCTTCGTGGCCCGCATTGCTATGCCCACGAGCTCCGCCTTGGCTGCGGCCTACGGTGCGGCGCGGGAGACTTTAGGGCCAGCGCGGGGGCTCGGAGTTGAGGGGTTGAGATCAGTTGGGATGGAGAATTTGTTTATATTTGTTTCACATCTTCAAATGGTTTAAGGAAGGACATCTTGCATATTTATAGTATATATGATATTTGTCTAGTTGGTAGATTTTATCCTTAGATATGTTTATGTGATGTGTGTTGGTTGCTGGTATGTTTGTTTCAGGTACTCACTTGGAATCACCAAGCCGATTCATGAGATGAGGAGGGACTCCTTTCTGTATGAAATCCATATTATATATATACACTGGATTCTGGTGACTGTTAGTGTAAGGGGGGACAATCCAATATATATATATAATATACATATATATATATATATTGCAGCTACTCCTCAATCATAGGCAGTTCAGGTAGCAAAGGGCACTGGATCAACAGCGACGTTGTTTCGAGATGATGATGACAAAGGCCTGGACCATAAGGAGATGCAGAGAAAATCGCTAGGTTCGCTCAGTGGGTTATAACCCAGATGCTCCATGTATGGAATATTTACCAACATTTGCCCTAAAAAATCACCCAAATGTAGGTAAATATCCCATACATGGAGCATCTGGGTAATACAAAATCGTTACAAATCAGATCATTTTGCCATTTTGCTGAAGGAACTCATCTCTGTTTTTTTTTCTTGCCAAGTAGTCGTGACCAAGTTCGCATGGCCCAAACCATGCTCCTGGCCTGGTGATCAACCAGGTGATTCTTAGTTTTGGTGGCAACTGGGATGCTTTCAAACAATGCATGGATATGATTCTTGCACCTTTTATTGCAGATAGAAATTCTTGAGATAATATGTATGTATATATATATATAATTATATAAATATATATGTTTATATATACAAATTCAGACCCTCATAACATCCCTACCTCACCCCAGGGGCTTTTGCTTCCCCACGTTGGTCCGAGGAAAGGCTCTTGTGGCATGGCACCTCTTGGGAATGTGTGCCTAACATCGTGTGCCGTTGTCGGGACGATGATGGATGGGTGGGGACGGTTAGATCATCGATATCCAACAGATATCCAGCCTGGTGACAGATGATGGATGGTTAGGTTAGATATGGTTAGATCAGTTAGATCTCAATATCCAGCCTGATCCAGCCTGGTGTTACAAGGCTTAGCCGCTTCTGTCAAGTGTTTACAATGTTTACATCCTTTTCAGGGATCCAAGTCGGAAGGATGGAGCCGAAAGGGCAAATTTTCGTTTGGAGAGATATCGCAAGACATACATCAGCGGCGCTGCCTCAACTATGCCTTTGCCTGGTTCAAAGGATTTGGGTTTGTCTGGAAATGGGCTACCCCATGTACTTTAGATGGTTGATCATAATTTTCCTCATTTTCCCAATGAAAACTTGGTCAGAACTGAGGGTTCATCTCCCATTTTCAGACAACAAGGCGGCACGGCTTCAATCGTGCTTACGCATTCAATGCCAGGCGCACCAAAAGACGGGGTCCAGTGATGTCCAGTGCCGATAAAGCCTGGGTGATTTTGTTCATACCTCACTGCAACGTCACTGAAATGATGGTGGGGATTGGGTTTAACTATCCACAATGGAATCCACATTGGCCGAACTGTTCAATATGCTTCAGGATGTGCACTTGAATCTGGGCGGCCATAGTTCGCACAGAACACTCAGCTGGCATCAGTTGAAGGTTGAACAGATATTACTACATGAACGGGATGTTTCAGCAAAAATGTAGCAGAGAGCAGGTCGTACACCCATATATGAACCATGTATGGAATATGTGCCAAGATTTAGCCCCAAAATGATAAATATGCCAGCATTATCGAGCATCTGAATTAAATATATATATATATAATATACACATTACATGTATATATTAAATCCTCACTGCCAATGCGAAGGCATGGTTCGAAATTGGGTCGTGGCGTCTACTTCGCAGAAGATCCGGTGCCGCGGCTGGGGGTTTTTTAGGGTGTCGTGCTGATCCTGATCCGCTGGTCCAACGTATCCCAAGTATTGATGGAATCACTGTCACTGAGACTCCATTGTATTGAACCAGTATGGTCCAATACGCACAAAT